GTACACTCTGAGAGGCAGCAAGTGATGGCTCACATGCTTGGTTCCCACACACATAAGAGACCTGGATTGAGTTCCTGACCACTGGCATTGTCCTGGCCCAGCCATGGCTATTGCAGGCATTTGGAGAGTGAACCAGAGGATGAAAGATCTCTCTGTCCACTGTATCTGTCTCTCTGACTTTCAAATAAAAATAAATAAATTTTTAAAAGTCTATTCACAGGGCCGGCACTGTGGAATAGTGGGTAAAGCTGCTGCCTGGAGTGCCAGCATCCCATATGGGTGCCAGTTCAAGTCCCAGCTGCTCCACTTCCAATCCAGCTCTCTGCTGTGGCCTGGGAATGCAGTAGAGGATGACCCAAGTCCTTGGGCCCCTGCACCCATGTGGGAGACCCAGAAGAAGCTCCTGGCTCCTGGCTTCAGATCAGCACAGCTCCAGCCGTTGCAGCCAATTGGGGAGTGAACCAGCAAATGGAAGACCTCTCTCTCTCACTCGCTGCCTCTCCTTCTCTCTCTCTGTAACTCTTTCAAATAGATAACTAAATCTTAAAAAAAAGAGAGAAACCATTCACTCTAAAAGTGATTTTTAAAACCACCAAGTCATACATTCCCCATCTGAGAGGGAAATTAGAACATGCAAAACACCAGTATTATATCTAATAAGTGCAGACCTGCACCAAGAACAACACGTGAGCCAGTTCCCTTTTCTTTATATCTGACATACATTATCCTGAAGGGCTATTATCATAGACATAGTCAACACTCAGACAAACATAAAGCCCTCTTTTCAGTATTTTCTGTGTTTTAGGGTCATCTTTCTGAATACATCTTTCTGGAGGTTAGAGCCATAGTTTGTGCTTATCTTTAATTCTTTGTAAAATTAGATATGAAATAAACCCTCAATATTTTTGCCATTTTAATAAAAGATCAAGGTGAATTTCAGTAGTGCCCTAGTAAGATGGCTATAAATTGTTCTGTTAATAAAAGGAACACAGCCTCATGTATTGTTTAATCCATGTTTCCTGTGTGCAGTAACAGAAAACCCATAGTCATAGTGAAAACCAGTAGCTCACTTCCTTAATGAAAGGAGGCTGGAAGTGAGCAGACTAAGGGTTATACCACAGTTCCACAAAATTGTGCAAAAATAGGGTTTTCCAGTTATCTGTTCAGTCATTTCTATGGCATGGCCATCAGCCTCAGTATTTAAGGTGGTTGCTAGAATTCCAACCATCACAACTATGTTGTAGGCAAGAAAGGGCAAAGAAAGATTGCCCTTTCCTTCCATGGACATATGTAAGGCATCTCACAGAACACTTATCCTACATGCCAATGGTTAAGGGAATATGTTTAAGACTATAGCATAGGCAAGCATTTCTCAAACAGGATATAAAAATCACCAAACATAAGAACAAAAATGATAAGTTGACATATATTAAAATTAAGATAATCTTTTTTTTTTAGATTTATTTGAAAGATAGGGTTACAGAGAGAGGCAGAGACATAGTGGGGGGAGTCTTCCATCTTCTGGTTCACTCCCCAAATGGCCGCAATATCTGGAGCTGGGCTGATCCAAAGCCAAGAGCCAGGAGCTTCTTCTGGGTCTCCCACATGGGTGCAGGGGCGCAGGCACTTGGGCCATCTTCTATTGCTTTCCCAGGTGCATTAGCAGGGAGGCAGATAAGAAGCGGAGCAGCCAGGGCCGGCGCTGCGGCTCACTAGGCTAATCCTCCGCCTGTGGGGCCAGCACCGGGGTTCTAGTCCTGGTCGGGGCGCCGAATTCTGTCCCGGTTGCTCCTCTTCCAGTCCAGCTCTCTGCTGTGGCCCGGGAGTGCAGTGGAGGATGGCCCAAGTGCTTGGGCCCTGCACCTGGATAGGAGACCAGGAGAAGAACCTGGCTCTTGGCTTTGGATCGAATCAGCGCAGTGCGCCAGCCGCAGCGCCACAGCGGCCATTGGAGGGTGAACCAACGGTAAAAGAAGACCTTTCTCTCTCTCACTCTCTCACTGTCCACTCTGCCTGTCAAAAAAAAAAAAAAAGTGGAGCAGCCAGGACTTGAGAACTGGGGCCAATATGGAATGCCGGCACTGCAGGTCGGGGTTTCAACCCACTACACCACAGTGCAGGCACCGAGATTAAGATCTTCAATGAAATGAAAGACCAATAAAATAGTGAAAAGTTAACTCACTAAGCAGTGGAAGGTATTGAACAAAAAATAGCTGCCAACAGATTTCTATCCCAAACATATAAAATTATCATTTATTAAAAATGAATAAGGAAAATAAAAAACTCAATAGAAATATGAGTGAAAGATGTTAAAATTTTATGGAAAATAAATACAAAGGGCCAATAAATCTGAGAAAGTTTACAACTTCAGTAGTCAATACAGAAATTGAAATCAAAATCAGAATGCCAACCAACCATACCACTATGCACTCCTTTGGAGGGACACCAGTTCTATGGGAGCTTGATCACTCGGAGCATGATCATTAAAAGTTTTGGGTGACAGAGTAGAAAAAATGCTTGCCTGGAAATCTGAAAATGGATGTTTGTTTACTTGCTAATGTCTTCTGGTGTTTGCCTCAGTTGCATGTCATATAAGGATGTTTTATTAGGGAAATGACATATTTGCTGAAGTACATACTTAAAAATAATTGTATAATCATCTTTTGTTGCGTGGAAATAGAGTCCTGTAATATAAGCCACAAAATCAGCTTCTGCAGAGGGATATTAATTATTTAGGCTTCCAAGCTCAAATGACGTCCTTGTCAGTAATTCACTCAAATGGTCCCTGGTATGTGATACAGTCCTGTTAAGGAAATGGTGGCTCAGGAGCTGCCAAGGGTAATTCCATGCATTTACTGAGTCCATGAGAGAAACTGGATGATGCTGATGATGAAGAAGAAGAAATAGCAATCATCATCATAATGAAAGCTAATTTACAAGTATTGCCAATACTATGTACAAGCACCATTCCTTTTACATATGCTAACACTTTAATCCTTAGCACAATCTTATCAGGTAGTTATCAGTATTATTGCTATCACATACAGAAATAGGCACAGAGAAGGTAAGTGGTGTGCCCAAGATACACATCTTAGAAATAAATGGTGCATATTGCATTCAGTACAGTCAATGGACACTCAAGTCCATGCTGTGAACCACTATTGCCTTGACCAGTCTGGTTTTTTTATAGTTTCTCCAACTAACCAATAATATTTGAGGGCCTGCTATGTGCAAGGCACTCTCTAAGTCACTGGCTTAAATTAACTAGCTGTTAAGATGCTGATTAAGATGCCCATGTCCCATATCCAAGTGCCTGATTCCAGCTTCCTGCTGATGCAGACCCTGGAGGGAACAGGTGATAGTTCAAGTGGCTGGGTCCATGCCACCCACGTGAAAGACTTGAATTGAGTTCGCAGCTTCCAGCTTCAGCCTGTCTTAGCCTCAGCTGTTGCAGACATTTGAGGAATGAACCAGCAGATGAAAGCCTCTCTCTCTCTCTCTCTCTCTCTCTCTCTACCTCTACCTCTACCTCTTTGTCTCTTTCTATTTAAATTTTAAAATATTTTTAAAGTAACTGGCCTTCCAGCTTTCACCCTTCCATCTATTCTGCACATAGCCGCCAACATGATATTTCTCCAAACATAAATCTAGACCTTCGCACAGTACTAAAAAATACTTCAGAGGCCAGCAGTGTGGCATAGCAAGTGATGCTGCTGCCTTTGACACCAGCACCCCATAGAGGTGCCAGTTGGAGTCCTGGGTGCTCCACTTTCAATCCAGCTCCCTGCTGATGCCCTGGGATAAGTATCAGAGTATGGCCCAAGTGCTTGGGTCCCTGACACCCATGTGAGAGACCTGGATGAAGCTCCTGGCTCCTAGGAGTGAATCAGCAGATGGAAGATTCTTCTCTCTCTCTCCCTTCCTCCCCCTCTTTCTGTAACTTAGACTTTCAAATAAATAAATATTTTTTTTAATTTCCATGGTTTCACATTTCATCTTGGAATGAGTGTCGCTGTACATCTCCCCAGCGTGACCAACAAGGACTCTCATAATCTGGGTCCTGCCTCCCTCATCAGTCTCATGACCCCTTCCCCTGTTCCATGGCTTCCTTTCTGCATCCGGAAACCCATGCTTAGCAACAAGACCTCCCTCGGCTCCTTTACATTCCCTTGGCTCCTCCCTCCACCTGGCCGTGGCTCAGCCATCTCGGCCAACATGGTGTCCTTCTCAAGACTCACCCTGTCCATTCTGTCTGAAGTGGCGGCTGCCCATGCCTCTGCCACAGCACCTTGATTGATTCACTCGTTAAACTTAACCTAGTAGGTAATTAATGACCTTGACTGTCTTGTGGTTATTGTTTGTCTCGCCTTACTCAGTCCCAGAAGGTTAGGAATTTCATCCACCTTTGTAACCACAGCTCCTAAAAACAGGCCTTGGCCTGTGGCAGGTGCTCACTTGTACTTGATGAAGGAAGGAATGAAGGGACATTGCCAGCGTATTGAGGGACAGCTAAGTCATAGACATAGCACACGGCCTTGATTGATGTGCCTGCATGCCCCAAGTTCACAGAGGAGTGAAGCAGTAATTCTGCGTTTGGAGTGGAGGGGGGCAGGGGGCAGGCAGTGCCATCAGTGGAAAGTGCCATCAAGTGCACAAGCAAGTTTGTCAGAGAAGAAACCAAACAATAACTGCTAGACAACCAGGTTTGATATTTAAGCTCCATCTCACAGGAAAAGTAGGTCCTGGAGGCAGAACAGGAAGAAATGGCCATTCCCCACCAAGGGAGCTGTGAGAGGAGCTGCAGTTTTTGAAAGGTGTTCCAGGCAAGGAAGCCATGCTGAGGAGCAAAAGGTAGTGCAGGAATGATCTTAACCATGAAACATGAGCTCAGCCATGAACTAAGGACTCAGCTGGTTGAAAAGACCGAGTACAACAGCAAGCAGGTGTTAACAGCACGAGGTGTGTACAACTTTAAAAAACAAGACTGTGTTCCTTTTCAGGTTCCCCGAGCTCCATCTCTCCACCTCTCCTTGCACCCTTTTGCCATGTTAACAGCGCCCAAAGCAGCAGAATATGCCCGCAAACAGAGTAAGCCTGCCAACTTCCATGTGCTTAGAGAAACTTAAGTAAAATTGGGAGGTGGGCTCAAAGGTAAGGTCCAAAGTGTAGAGGTAATTAGATTTTTCTGCCTGGTTGAATGAAAATGAACCAGGAGCTTTTATGGTTTGATTTTCCTCCATTAATGGGATCAAGGAAATTGTCTTTCTTAGACCCTGGGGGACAGGAGCTAAGCAGTACAAAAGGGACAAATCTAAAACTGCGAATGAATCAACCAAGGTGTCCATCATCAGATGAATGGACTTTTTAAAACTATGGCATATACAGACATTGGAATAGTATTGAGCTAAAAAAAAAGGATGAAATTCTATCATTTGCAGCAAAATGGTTGGACCTGGAGGACATCATGTTGAGGGAAATAAACCAGACACAGAAAGACAAATACCACATATTCTCCCCTATATGTGGGAGCTAAAAATTTTTTTTTTTTTTTTGGACAGGCAGAGTGGACAGTGAGAGAGAGACAGAGAGAAAGGTCTTCCTTTGCCGTTGGTTCACCCTCCAATGGCCGCTGCGGCCAGCGCACTGCGCTGATCCGATGGCAGGAGCCAGGTACTTCTCCTGGTCTCCCATGCGGGTGCAGGGCCCAAGGACTTGGGCCATCCTCCACTGCACTCCCTGGCCACAGCAGAGAGCTGGCCTGGAAGAGGGACAACCGGGACAGAATCCGGAGCCCCGACCGGGACTAGAACCCGGTGTGCCGGCGCCGCAAGGCGGAGGATTAGCCTAGTGAGCCGCGGCGCCGGCCAGGAGCTAAAATTTTTTAAAATACTAAAAATTAAAAAAAAAGAAATGCCTGGTGTGTATCAATTTTGCTGCAAATACAGTGTTTTGTCAAACTTTATTTTAAATCTTTGTTAAACAAATTGATAGGAATTATATACCCCTATAGTTTTAATGATTGTTTGTGACTTTTAAAAGCCATATTATATGAGTGAAGTTGAACTTCTTTTCATTTGATTATTGTGTGTAACTTGTGCCTATGTTCCCTCTGAACCATGATCTTTCTACGCTCTATTTGTTGAACTCTTAATTTAGTGGAGCACTAAGTCTTCAACTATAATGCAAATTAAAAATATGTCATCTCAAAAATAAATAAGTAAAATATAAAGTTGAAAATATTTAAAAATAAATAAAACTATGAGTGGACATATGTTTTATAGAAGTTTTTATGCAGTATAGCTACTGTCTCTGTCTGCAGGTATCAAGTTAAGAAGGGCAACAAATAGAAATGCCACCAAGTGCTCCACAAAGGAAGTAAATGCCACAGAATGGAAACCACCAAAGATCCTTTCAGATGCACAGCCAAAGAACAAAGTAGGTCTAAAAACAGACTGAGTCAAGCTAATACCACAAGTTTTGAGAGTACTTTACTTATATGGTGGTTAACACCTAGCCTTTGTAGTTAAACACTCTGGGTTTGAACATAAAGCCCTCTATTTCCCAGCTACGTGACACCAGGCAGGCTACTTAACCCCTCTGTGCCTTCATTTCCTCCCTGGAAAATGAGAAGAACAATGATACTCGCTTCTCTTAAGTGGTTGAGATGATCAACTGAGACTACGTGAAGAGTTAAGATTATGCTTATGTTAAGAGATGACAACAGTGCTTGTCACAGAGTGAAATCTAAAATATTAGCCATTATTATATTTTCAGGATTTGACAGACACTATTCAGATCAGCTGTTGATTCAAATCAGTCTGTTGAGAAGAAGGTTAAGATGAATATCTGCATCACAAAAGTTCCCGTTCTTGGTCCCCCTCTCAGACCATTTCCTGCTGAGTATCTCCTCAGTCTGCCTGGTTCCTGAGTTGTGGGTTGCAGAACCCAGAGCATGGCCAGACATTGACAGGCTGGAGGGGAAGGTAAGAGGGAAGAGGGTTCTTTGTGTTCCCAGCTCTGGGCTTTCACCTGTAATGTGCAGATGCAAAGAGGGTTTAAAAAGAAGTCAGAGAGCAAGTTGGTCCTCCTTGTGAAAGCTGAGGGGGAGAGAATCAGAGAAGGGGCCAGGACTGGGGGTCTGGGACACAGGGCTTTGTTACTGAGAGACTCCTGGTAGCTGAAGGGTAGTGAAAAAGGAAAAGGAGAGGCAATGTTGAAAATGGATGCACTGAGTTGTGAATCGGGCTTATATCAAGAAACACATGTTGAAAATTGAAATTTGGCCTTGCGGCGCCGGCACACCGGGTTCTAGTCCCGGTCGGGGTGCTGGATTCTGTCCCAGTTGCCCCTCTTCCAGGCCAGCTCTCTGCTGTGGCCAGGGAGTGCAGTGGAGGATGGCCCAAGTGCTTGGGCCCTGCACCCCACGGGAGACCAGGATAAGCACCTGGCTCCTGCCATCGGATCAGCCCGGTGAGCTGGCCGCGGCAGCCATTGGAGGGTGAACCAACGGCAAAGGAAGACCTTTCTCTCTGTCTCTCTCTCTCACTGTGCACTCTGCCTATTAAAAAAAAAAAAAAAAAGAAAATTGAAATTTGGTTGCTGTACTGTGCAATTTTTGAATGAGAATTTTGTAATAGATTGGGATTACATGGAGTTCAGGATTAGTCTGGGGTCCAGAGGCAAACTACTGATTGTCTTACCCACAGCAGCTATAGGAATGGCCTGAATTTTGGGGGCGCATCAGGATTTCTTTATGTGTTATCTAATACCAGAATAATTGCACTGTTGGGAAGTCATCACTATACTGAGTTTTCAAAAGTATTTACTGTGATGAGATTTGCAGGTACAGATTTTGTAGCATCATATTTTTATTTCTGAAGAAGTTTTTAAAGTAAGATGTTGTCTTTTTTCTTATGCATTTGGGGACAGCAAACTTTAAAGACAAAAACAAAACATGTCAAAAACAGTAACAACAGAAAAAAATCACAGAAACAACCAAATGTGCACACACAGACCTCCAATAATCTAGATTTTAGGCTTAATCATGAAAAAGCAGGTCCCTGAAACGGGTTCACAGACAGCCCCACCCCAAGGCTCACCTGTGGTCCCAATGTAAAGAAAATCAAGCTTGAACAATCAATCATTAGTGTGTTTTTTTGAAAATAAAATTTTGTAAAAAGATAAAAACAAAAAAAAAGAAAACAAAATTTTGTCTCATATGTATTTTCTTCCGCAACCTATAACGATGGTTGGATTCTTGATGAAAACAGATCTTTTAAAAAAAAAAAAAAAGATTTGTTTTATTTACTTAAAAGGCAGTGTTACAGAGAGACATGGAGAGATAGTATGAGAGAGAGAGAGAGAATTTCCATCTGCTGGATCACTACCCAAATGAACACAAAGGCCAGGGCTGAGCCAGGACAAAGCCAGGAGCCTGGAACTCCAGCTCTGTCTCCCATGTTGGTGGCAGGGACTCAAGCATTTCTGCCATCTTTGTGTTCCCAGGTTCCCATGCACATTAACAAGGAGATGGATCAGAAGTGGAGCAGCTGGGACTCAAACTGATGCTCATTTAGGATGTCAGTGTCCCAGGCAGTGGCCTAACCTGCTGTACCATAACAGCTGCCCCAGATCTTTATTCCTTTATCATTTCCCACGTGTATGAGAAAATTCATAGACAAATGGAGTAAAATGTGAATTTTGCAGCTCACATATGAAGTGCTTTGCAGGCAGTGGAGTCTCAGTAGCTATTGTCTATGAATGGATTGGCAGTAAGTGGGTGGCCCTTGGGTGACCGCTCTCAAACACTGTGCCCTGTGTATATTGATCAAGAGGCTCCTTTCCAGGAACCAGCTGGTCTGTAACTAATCAACCCAGTGAGCCCAGAGAGTCAGAAGAACAAAGGCCAAGAGCCAGCACTGTGACAAAACGAGTAAAGCCGCCACCTGCCATGCCAGCATCCCATATGGGCGCCAGTTCAAGTCCGGGCTGCGCCACTTCTAATCCAGCTCTCTGATGTGGCAAGGTAAAGTGGTAGAAGATGGCCCAAGTCCTTGGGCCCCAGTACCCATGTGAGAGACCCGGAAGAAGCTCCTGGCTCTGGCTCCTGGCTTCTGATTGGCTCACCTTTAGCCATTACAGCCATCTGGGGAGTGAACCAGTGGATGGAAGACCTCTCTCTCTCTCTCTCTCCTCTCTCTCTCTCTCTCTCTCTGCCTCTACCTCTGCCTCTCTGTAACTCTACCTTTCAAATAAACAAATAAATCTTAAAAAAAAAAGAAAGAAACAAAGAACATTCTGTAACAGGACCAAGTCCTGAGATGAATCTTGTCCATACATACCCCTTCTAGATAATCCAACAACACAAAATCCATTTGGTGTTTCTTTCATGCTGTTATTTGTATACTTCAGGCATCTTTTTCCAATTCCTGGGTAGTGTGTGTAAAACTAGTTTAAAGTTTTATAGTAGTGAAGTAGGCATTGCAGCACAGTGGCTTAAGCTGCCACATGGGATGCCAGCATTCCCTATGAGAGCGCCAATTAGAGTTCCAGCACCTCTGTTTCTGATCTGGCTTCCTGCTAATGCAGCCTGGGAGGCAGCAGGTAATGATTCAACTGCTTGAGCCCTTGCCACCCACATGAGAGACCTGAATGGAGCTCCAGGCTCCTGGGCCAGCCCTGGCTGTTGCAGGCATTTGGGGAATGAACCAGCAGATGAAACCCACCCCGAATCCCTCTCTTCCTGTCAACCTGCCTCTCAAATAGATGAAAATAAATAAATTTTTAAATTACACATATAATAGGGTTATATGCTTACAAGTAAAATTTTCAAACCATACAGAAAATATAAAGTGAAATGTAAAAGAATACCCTCTTCCCCATACTTCTTTCCCATGTCTAGAACTAACCTCTGTTAATACTTCTGGTTATATTCCAATGTTTACTATACATATACGTATAAGTATACAAATGTGAGGAGGCTATAGAAAGCTTGTGGAAAATGGAAGTGATATTTATTCTGATTCAAACATTTTTAAATTCATGCATATGAGGGGCCTTCAAAAATTAATGGAAAATGCTTATTAGGAAAAGACCAGTGGCCAGTGTTGTGGCATAACAAGTTAAGCTGGCACCTGTGACACCAGCATCCCCTATGGATGCCAGTTCAATGCTCTGCTTCTGATCCAGATCCCTGCTAGCATACCTGAGAGCAACAGAAGATACCCCAAGTGCTTGAGCCCCTGCACCCAGAGGGAGCTCCAGGCTCCCGGCTTCAGCCTGACACAGCCCTGGCCGTTGTAGCCATTTGGGGAGTGACCCAGCAGATGGACGATCTCAATCTCTCTGTCTCTCCCCAACCCTCTCTCTAATTCTGCCTTTCAAAATAAGTAAAAATAATCTTTAAAAAAGAAAAAAAAAAAAGGAAAGACCAAGCATGGACTTCAAAAACTTTCCACATTGGAGTGGGCATTTGGCTTAGTGGTTCCTACTGCTTAGGGTCCCAGCTCCACTCCCCATCCAGCTTACTGGACAGAGACAGAGACAGAGACAGAGAGGGACCTTCCATCCACTGATTCACCCCCCAAATAGCCCCAGTAGCTGGAGCTGGGCTGGGCCAAAACCAAGAACTCAATCTGGGTCTCCCACATGCGAAAAGAACCCGAGTACTTGCCTGCTCAGTCCCGAGGGTGTGAAGTAGCAGGGAAGCTAAAATTAGAGCACAGGTGGGGCTTGAATCCAGGAACTCTGATATAGGATGTGGATGTCCTAAGGCATCAACCATTCATCACTCACTCACCTCCTAAACTTGTTATTTAACTCCATCTTCCCTGAGCTTTTTGAAGCCCACATGTACTGGTTTCTAAGAACTGTTTTTAACATAAGAGAAATTAATCTGAGCTTGTGGGGGTTCTCAGTAAAAAAAAAAAAAAGAGAGAAATTAATCTTGTATTTAAAAGATGAAAAAATATACTTTTACATTTGTTGTTTGAAAAATTTTTCATTTGATATACTTGAGCTGCTTAGTTTTTTTTTTTTTTTCCTTTATGGCTTGTGGATGCTGTATCATGACTTTTAGCTAACCTCAAGATAAAACAATGCCTTATTCAGAATTTTTTATGTATTTTCCAGCTGTGAAATTTCTTCATAAAGTGAGAGAAAAGGGAAAATTACTCTTTAAAATCTAAGTATTCCTAGAAACAGTTTTAAAATTTTTTATTATATTGGTGTTAGTTGCTCATTTATTAGTCAAAATAAGTATGAGCAGGGAGAGTACTAGGCAGAGCAGTTGAGACACCACTTGCAATACCCACATCCCATATCTGAGTGCCTGGGTTAAACCCTGGCTTTGGTTTGATTCCAGCTTCCTGCTGTTGGGAGTTAATTAGTGTGCGGGACCTCTCTCTCTCTCTCTCGCTCTCTCTGTCTCTCAAATAAAGAGACAAACATTTATTTTAAAACCAACTACCAGCATCACTGTTTCCTAGGATACTGTGTCAGTACAGAGCACATTAGTAGGAAATCAGCTTGGAATGTACAAGACGATACTGAAGAGTTAGACAACAACATCTTTTTTTTAAAGATTTATTTATTTATTTGAAAGGCAAAGTTACATAAAGGCAGAGACAGAGAGAGAGAGAGTCTTCTATCTGCTGGGTCACTCCCCAGATGGCCACAATGGCCAGGAACTAGGTAGATCCGAAGCCAGGAGCCAGGGTGCAGGGGCCCAAGGACTTGGGCCATCTTGTAGTGCTTTCTCAGACCATAGCAGAGAACTGGATCAGAAGTGGAGCAGCCGGGACTCGAACCAGCACCCATATGGATGCCAGCACTGCAGGCAGTAGCTTTACCTGCTATGTCACAGTGCTGGCCCCCAACAGTAACTTCTTAAATCCTGGCTCCCTACTTAACAACTGGAGTGAGTGATTTGATCTCTGTGCTGCAGTTTCTCATCTGGAAAAAAGAATTTAAAAGCATTCATCATACCACCTTCCTCAAAGTGTTGCCACAAGGGCTAAATGAGCTAGAATGCACGCAAGGGCTAGAAGTGCCAGGACCACAGCAAGCAGAGATGCAACTGCTTCCTTGTTACCACCCCTGAAGAACTCAGTGTTATACAAACAGGACAGGAGTGGGCAGTTTAAGAGTAAATTCAAAACAATGTATCAGAAATTCAAATTATTGTACTCTACGCACATGATACATAACTGACCCAGAGATCAAAAAATGATTTGTTTTGAGAAGGGTTGGTCACAAAAGTGTAACTTTTATTATTTATTTATTTGTAAATAATTTCAAACTTAGGGAAAAGTTCCAAGAATGGTAAAGAACTCACTTATTCCTATTACCCAGATTCACCAATTCTTTTTTTCTATTTGCTTTATCCTTCTCTCTCCCCACTTCCAAAATCTTTTCTGAGTCATTATGGAATATATATACACACACACACACACACATATATATATATATACACATATATACATATACATAAAATAACTTTACTATTATGTACTTTGGTATATATTCCCTAGGAACAGTAAAACATTTTAGACTATCTACATTAGTAGGTCTGTGTAATCTGTCCTCTCTATACCAATTTTGTCAACTGTATCATTTAAAAGCATTTTTTCTTCTGCACAGGATCCACTATGGGATCACATAGTGCATACATTGATAAATATAATCCAATTTCCAAATCTATAAGAACAGGTTCATGGAAATTTTTTCCTACCAACATATTTGACTTTAATTTCCTATATATTGAGAGCTAGTGGCTGTGTGTCCAAGCTATATTATTGGTATAAAATGATCCTTTATCCTCTATAGGTCACTTAAACTCTTGGAATTGTACCGTGGAACTTCATAATGGAAGACAATAATGGGAGAAGACAAGAAAGATCATCTTGAAGCTGCAGCTCTTGCCAGCACAGTTATCTTTACAGTTCGCTTTGGATGCACTGAAGTGTTATTTTTGTTGTTGCCCTTTCTTCTCTTAGAAGCATATTGCATGGCAGCATTTCGTTAAAAGAAAAAAAATGTATCTTTCTTATGCTACTGCATCATGACTGGAAGACTACTGGAGAATTCAGAATATATTGCATTTCTCTGTCACAGCAGACTGGCTTTGTAGCTATTTTACAAAAGTATAGCATTGAATTTTGCACAGTGGTAGAGTAAGTGGCAGTTTGCCAAGGTTTTAATCCAAAATAAAATAAACCTGTCACTGGTGGCCTTTACTGTATTCTCATATGATAAAATTTAAAATCATTTCAATAAAGCATTAAAAGAAAAGTGGGTGCAGGCTTTCTGTCAGTATAATATGACTACTAGAAGAAGAAAATATTCTTTTTTTTTCAGCACCTTTTCAAAATGTAGGCACATGTCTTAGCCTGCCCATGTAGGTAGTAACAACTCAGTCAGATAAGTGCCAATGCAGATTACACCTCTCTCAAGGCTCTGGTATCCGCTCTTCCTGAAGAACAATTTCATTAATACATGCAAAAACATGGTGCAGTTCACTGGCTTCTGCTGAAAAGGGTGGTGTGTTCCCATGTGAGGTGTGGCTGGGGAGACCCTTGCAGCCTTTTGCACACTGGTTGCTTATGGCTGTAACTGAGATAGCCCAGTAGACTTGCAGCACAAGCAGGGAGGCGCAGATGGTGTCTGTGACCTGGGATCCCTGCGTATGCTGCCAGCTGGCTAACTCCATGGGGTTTTGCCCAGCTTCCTTCTGTCTTAGCTCTGCTAGATATAAGCCACTGCTGCCTCTCCTTTAACCCTTTGTACACGAACCTTGGATGCTGCCCAAGGATTTTCACAAATGGCATTGTGAGTGTACTGCTCGCTGTGGTTTTATAGAGTTCCTGCCTGGGCCTGAAGCACAAAGACACTTGATTTCACCTTCCTGCATCCAAAGATGACCTGGGGTTTGGGGTCATCCTCTGCTCCTACATGTCTGAATAGTGCTTCTGAATCAACAGGATGGCAGCAACACACAAGGTCTTCAGGCAGTCACCCCAGTGACACGTTTGGGAGGGAAAACAGGAAATCGTGGTGCTAATTTTAAAAAGAGAAAGCAAGCTGGAAATAAGGGTGGAGGTGAGAGAGGAGCAAAAGGGTCCTGTATATTTTCCTACTCTTTTGAGTATTCCACAGACTCTCAGGAAATATCTTTACTTTTAGTTCAGAGAGGTGTTAATATCAAGATGAAATATACATATTTCTGAAATTAACTGCTTTCCATGATTAATTCAATGTCATAGTTTTACAATGATTTTACTATGCATCTCAGGAAGGCAACATATATTATAAAATTAAGGAAATAAAAAGCAACAAAAATAGATAAAAACATAAAAGTAGGGTCCGTAATCTTGCAATTCATTGATGATCATGGTTGACATGTTGGTGTAGACATAGTCCTAATCCTTTCTTTCCTATATAAAAATATGATTTTTTTAAACAAAAGCAACATCATACTGAAGAAATGTAACTGTATTTCAATTAGAGGGCTTTTAGTTTGAGATCTGGAGTTGCCTCTTCACACTTCCAGTCCTGGAACTCACGTGAGTCTCACATGTACCTCAGATGAAAGCTCCGAGCTCCATCTCAGCAGTTTCCATAGGCAAACATTGCACAATGCAGGGCATGTAATGTATTTCTAGAGTGCTGCATAGGATGAGAAGTGCGCCCTTTGTCTCCAAGGTCATAATGGCTCTGCTGACTTCAATACCTTTCACTGGAGCTAGTGAGGACAACTCGAAAATGCCAGAGAGAATGGCAGCCCCTTGCCCCATGATCCCAAATGAAAAACAGACAGAACGCAGAAATCCCCTTACACACTACCCCCAGGTCCCTTTTGTGTTGTTCTTGCCAACGCAGCAGCCGTCCTGCTATATATACTGGCTGCCACTCTCGTCCCCATCACAGTGGACGCTGAACACCCACTATCAACAGCCATGGGGAAGGTAAGCCCCTTGAGGCGTCATCCCACGGCTATGGACTGTCTACTCTGGGGGGCAGACCATCCAGCTGACTTCTGCTGTCACCTTGTTTTCCACTGCAGATCATTTTCTACGAGGACCGGGGCTTCCAGGGCCGCTGCTATGAGTGCAGCAGCGACTGCCCCAACCTGCAGCCCTACTTCAGCCGCTGCAACTCCATCCGCGTGGACAGCGGCTGCTGGATGCTCTATGAGCGCCCCAACTACCAGGGCCACCAGTACTTCCTGCGCCCTGGCGACTACCCTGACTACCAGCAGTGGATGGGCCTCAGCGACTCCATCCGCTCCTGCCGTGCAATTCCTTACGTGAGTCTTGCTTCCAGCTGCCTAGTGTGAAAGCAGTGGCCAATGGCCATTAATTTCTGCTTAAAAAAGTCAGTTTGTTCCAGCCTAGAACTTCTGTAGAGTAAGGACAGGAAGGCCTCCAAGGAGAAAAACATCAATTGTCATCTCTATTTTTCTTACTTACAGACATCAACATTGCTCTAGGACACAAGAAATCACATTACAACCTTTAAAATTAAACTTGGTACCATCCAAGTGATACCTAATTTCTAAATTAAAATCACCTTGATTAGTAAAGAAAGATATCTATCTGGATAACAATTTTTTATTGTAGTTTAATTTAATTTTATTTGAGAGAAAGGGCAGGTAGAGAGAGACAGAGAGAAAGAAAGCATTCATCTGCTGGTTCATGCCCCAAATGCCTGAGAGCTGGGATCTCAGTCCAGGTCCCCCATGTGGCTGGCAGGGACCCAACTACTTGAGCGATCATGAGTTGCCTTCCAGAGTGTGTATGAGCAGGAAGCTGGAATCAGGAGTGGAGCCAGGACTCAAATCCAGGCTCTTGTATGGGATGGTGGCCTCCCCAACCAGCATCTCAACCACTGCACCAAAGGCCTGCCCTATATATAATTCCTTCTTAAGGATTAAAAATCTAGCAGGCTATGGGTAAACAATGCAAGTATAATATATTCTGACTGCATTCGTGGTTTTTCCAGAACATTCTATGACATAATAAGTTGGAACTTAGAACAACACATCTCAGCATGTAAGTGGTTTTGTATTTCCCCAAGAGTCATTATCAACCAGTTTCTTACAAGAATATCAGAGACAGATAATTGATTAGGATGCACAGGTCACAGTCCTCACCAAAGTGCAGTTTCATCTTTTTTAATCAGGCAGAATGTGTGGTTATGCTTTCTGATGGCACCAAATTGAGCAGCAGGTTCAGGACTGAAATCAAATTTAGACTAGAACGATATGTAGATATGCAAGAACATATTTCTTTGGGCTAAGAAAAAACTCAAAAAGTCCAAATGGTTTGCAAAACATCATTTGAAAAGGTGTGTAGACTCAGAGTAAATACAAATCATGGAAAATTACAAGTGCCAAAGTGACTTAGAGGTAATCGTGACAGGTCTCGATGACAGGGAATCTGGAAACAGGAGTGAAAATCCTCCGGCAGCCTCACTAACTAGGTTGTGAGAGACGGTTGCTGACAAAGGCAATGCTTCCACTCTCTGTATTTCAGTGTTTGTTTCTTCAATTAGATTTCCAGATCACTGACCAGGGCAGCTTCATTTCAACACTCCTCCTGATTGGCTAGAACAACAACATCAGGAGTGGGATTAAGGAGAAGGCATATTTTACAGGACACTGTGAAAGCCGAGCTTCCTCTGGATGCAGGTTAACGAGGTCACTTTCGTTGACCCCAGGGATGCACACCATTAATTCTTCTTGTGTTTACTGTCACGACAGACCAGCTCTCACAGGATAAGGCTGTACGAGAGAGATGACTACCGGGGTCTTGTACACGAGCTCACTGAGGACTGCCCCTGCATCCACGATCGCTTCCGCCTCAATGAGATCTTCTCCCTCCACGTGCTGGAGGGCTGCTGGGTCCTCTACGAGATGCCCAACTACCGGGGGCGGCAGTACCTGCTCAGACCTGGAGACTACAGGCGGTACCACGACTGGGGGGCCATGGATGCCAAAGTCGGCTCTCTGAGACGGGTCATTGACTTGTACTAGACTGTGCTTTTCTTGTGATCCACATTAGAAAATGCAATAAACACACCAATCATGTTCCTGGCACTCAGTGGCTCTTGTTTATCTTTAAGTAATAATTGAATTTTAGGAAGCGGTGACCCCAAGCAACTCCCGTGATCTTGAAAGGTGTTTTGCATTTTCCTTCAATTTCTGTTGCTCAGACAACTGTATCTATAGAGTATTCACTGCTGTCATCGAAAGGAGGCAGACTGTTTCTGCCTTCCATGACCTACAGTCTGAAGGAGAGAGAAGAACATAATAAACAACTAATAGAACCCACAGAAGGGAAAGAATGTAGAACCCACCTATGGCTGGGGCACCAAAGACAAGGCATTGCTGAAAGGATTAGGGTCACTGAAGATAAGATCAGACAAAAAAAGACAGATGAAGAGAGGGGAATTTTCAAAGTAGAAAAGATCTAGCCTGTTTGGTGTTAAAAGTGTCAACAAAAGTTAAACAGCATGATTTCTTTTTAATCTTCAGATTTATTTATTTCAAAGGCAGAGACACAGAGGGAGAGCTCCCATCCATATGCCCAGTCTCCAAATGCCCACAACTGCAAGGGCTCGGCTGAGACTGAAGTCAGGAGGAGGGAACTCACTCAATCCAGCTCTCCCACTTGAGTGGCAGAGACCCAATTATTTGAGCCGGAGTTGGGAACCGGAACCAAGAACCAAACCCAGGCACTCCCAATGTGGAGCAGAGGCATCTCAACTGGTGTCTTAACCACTCGGCCAAATGCCCATCCTAGACTGCCTGATCTCTTATGCTACCTCTGCTACTTACTTGTAGAGAGACCAGCTCAGCTGCCCAGTCTTCCAGGGACTCTCCCAGAGTTAGCACTAAAAGTCTTCCATCCTAGCCCTTAGTTTCAGGGAAACCAGGAGAGCTGGTTACCCATTTATAAGCTTACTTCATTAAACAAGTAATTTCTTGTCTTCTCTGTGCCAAATGACCAATAAAAACTAACATGATAATAAACTCCCAGGATAATTATGATGAAAAGAAAGGAAAAAATTGGCCGGCGCCGCGGCTCACTAGGCTAATCCTCCGCCTTCAGGCGCCGGCACACCAGGTTCTAGTCCCGGTCGGGGCGCCGGATTCTGTCCCGGTTGCCCCTCTTCCAGGCCAGCTCTCTGCTGTGGCCAGGGAGTGCAGTGGAGGATGGCCCAGGTGCTTGGGCCCTGCACCCCATGGGAGACCAGGAAAAGCACCTGGCTCCTGGCTCCTGGCTCCTGCCATCGGATCAGCGCGGTGCGCCGGCCGCAGTGCGCCGGCCGTGGCGGCCATTGGAGGGTGAACCAATGGCAAAGGAAGACCTTTTTCTCTGTCTCTCTCTCTCTCACTGTCCACTCTGCCTGTCAAAAAATTAAAAAAAAAAAAAGAAAGGAAAAAATTGTGAACACACTGTATCACTTTTAAGCTATTATACCAATGTAAGTATGAAAAATTGATATACCTGCACTATCCTCTCAAATTCAACATCACGATATGGTCTTCTTTATTTTGGACTTGAATATGAATTTTTATCAAGCCAATTATCAAAGATTCCATTATGCAGAGTGAGGTGTTACTATTTGCTATCCAGCTCATCTCTGGAATTTCTTCCCACTGACAGAGCTACTCTCCTAGCGTGTTAGTTTCTTTTCCAAATTTATATAAACTAAAATAATGTTCTGTCCCGGTTGACTTTTTGTGGAAATTGTTAAGCTTATTCCAAACTCTATATAGACACAGAATATCCAAAATAGTCTTGAGAAAAAGCAAATAGTAGAAGAATTCACATTTCCTAGTTTCACAACTTACCACAATGCAATGGTATCCAAGACAGTGAGGTACCGGCGTAAGGTTAGACATACAGATGAGTGAAATAGATCGAAGATTCGGAAGTAAACCAAGTGTCCATGTTCAACTAATTTTGGAAAAGGATGCCACTACCATTCAATAGGGGAAGAATAATTTTTCTCAACAAATGATGCTGGGCACACTGAGTATATGCAAAAGAATGAAGCTAGACTCCACACACCTATGTAAAAATTAACTCACAGGGCCAGAGCTGTGGCACAGCAGGTTAAAGCCCCAGCCTGCAGTGCTGGCATCCCATATGCATGCCAGTTCAAGTCCTGGTTACTCCTCTTCCAATCCAGCTCCCTGCTAATGTGACTGGGAAAGCAGCAGAGGATGGCCCAAGTCTTTGGGTCCCTGCACCCAAGTGGGAGACCCAGAAGAAGCTCCTGGCTCCTGGCTTCTGATGGGCTCAGCTCCAGCCATTGTGGCCATTTGGGGAGTGAACCAGTGGATGGAAGACCTCTCTCTCTCTCTCTTTCTGTGTGTGTGTGTGTGTGTGTGTGTCTGTCTGTCTGTCTGTCTCTGTCTCTCTCTTTCTACCTCTCTCTCTGTAAGTCTTTCAAATAAATAAAATGAATCTTTAAAAAAAGAAAGAAAAAAACTCAAAATGGATCAAAGACCTAAATGTAAGAATTCAAACTATAAAACTCTTGGAGAAAACATAGACATAGTTTTGTAACCTTTTATTAGACAATGATTTCTTTTTTAAGATTTATTTATTTATTTGAAAGGCAGAGTTACAGAGAGGCAGAAAGAGAAAGAGAAGTCTTTAATCTGTTGGTTCACTCCCCAAATGGCAGCAATGGCTGGAGTTGGGCCAATCTGAAGCCAAGAGCTTCTTCAAGGAATTGGCCATCTTCTACTGCTTTCCCAAGCCATAGCAGAGATCTGGATCAGAAGTGGAGCAGCCAGGACTTGAACTGGTGCCCATGTGGGATGCCTACACTATGGGCGCAGCTTAACCTGCTATGCCAAAGTGTTGGCCCCTAGACAATGATTTCTTAACCACGACACCAAAAGCACATGCAACAAAAGAATAAATTGTACTTCATCAAAATTTTAAAATTGTATGCATCAAGGAACACTGTCAAGAAAGCATTAGTGGCAGGGGCTGGTGCCATGGCTCACTTGGTTAATGCTCTGCCTGCAGCGCCGGCATCCCATATGTGCACCAGGTTCTAGTCCCAGTTCCTCCTCTGCCAGTCCAGCTCTCTGCTGTGGCCCAGGAGTGCAGTGGAGGATGGCCCAGGCGCTTGGGCTCCTGCACCCGCATGGGAGACCAGGAAGAAGCACCTGGTTCCTGGCTTCGGATTGGCGCAGCACCAGATGTAGTTGCCATTTGTGGGGGTGAACCAACAGAAGGAAGACCTTTTTCTCTGTCTCTCTCACTATCTATATCTCTTCCTGTAAAATAAATTTTAAAAAAATCATTAGTGGTGAGCATTTGGCCAAGCAGTTAAGCCACTGCTTTGGACACCTGCATCCCACATTGAATTGTTTGGGTTTGAGTCCCAGATTCACTCCTATCCCCCCAGTTCCAGCTTCCTCCTAATGTATACCTTGAGAGGCAACAGGGGATGCCAACTAGTTGGGTCCCTGCCATCCATGTAGGAGACCTGGACTGAGTTCCCACTCCTGACTTTGGCTTGGCCCAGTCCCAATTGTTATGGACATTTGGGGAGTGAACCAGTAGACAGGAGAGCTCTCTCTAGCTCTGTCTCTATGCTTTTCATATAAATAAATATTTTTTAAAAGAGAAAGTGTTGGGGCTGGTGCTGTGGTGTAGCGAGTAAAGCCATCACTAGCAATGGCAGCATCCCATATGGGTGCCAGTTCAAGTCCCAGCTGCTCCACTTCCAATCTAGCTCTCTGCTATGACCTGGGAAAGCAGTGGAGAATGGCCCAAGTCCTTGGGCCTCTGCACCCATATGGGAAGACCCTGAGAAAGCTCCCGGCTCCTGGTTTTGGATCAGTGCAGCTCCAGTTGTTGCAGCCAATTGGGGAGTGAACCAGCAGATGGAAGACCTCTCTCTCTCTCCTCTCTCTGTGTAACTCTGACTTTCAAATAAATAAACGGATTTCTAAGAAAGGAAGGAAGGAAGGAAGGAAGGAAGGAAGGAAGGAAGGAAGGAAGGAAAACAAATGTTGAAGCAAAAATTTATAGACAGATGTTCATAACAGCACTATTCACAATAGCCAAAAGGAACAAACAACCCAAACGTCAAAAGTCCATGGACTACTGGATAAACAAAATGTGATATGCAATGAAATATTACTTGGCCATAAAAGGAAGAAGGCAAGGCCAGTATTGTGTCATTTCAGGTAAAGCTGTTGACTACATGGGGGCCAGTTCATATCCTGAATGTTCCACTTCCAATCATGCTTCCTGTTAATGACCTGGGAAAAGCAGTGGAAATGTTTGGGGCTCTGCCATGGGAGACCTAGAAGCTCTTGGCTCCTGGCTTCAGTCTGGCCCAAACCTGGCCATTGCAGCCATCTTGGGAGTGAAACAGCAAGTGGAAGATCTCTCTGTCTCTCTGTTTTTTGTATAGCTAACTCTAGGATGAGACAGGCAGAGTTAGACAGTGAGAGAGAGAGAGAGAGAGAGAGAAAGGTCTTCCTTTTTCCATTGGTTCTCCCCCAAGTGGCCACTACAGCCAGCGCGTTGCAGCCGGCACGCTGCGCCTATCTGAAGCCAGGAGCCAGGTGCTTCCTCCTGGTCTCCCATACGGGTGCAGGGCCCAAGAACCTGGGCCATCCTCCACTGCACTTCCCGGGCCACAGCAGAGAGCTGGACTGGAAGAGAAGCAACCAGGACAGAATCCGGCGCCCCAACCAGGACTAGAACCCGGGGTGCAGTCGCCACAGGTGGAGGATTAGCCTAGTGAACCGCAGTGCCGGCCTATCTCTGTTTTTGCCTCTCAGTAACTCCAACTTTCAAAATAAATAATGAAAAATCTTTTTCAATAAAAAAGCACTATTACATGCTACAACATGAATAAACCTAAAAGAAGCCAGTCACATAAGACCATATATTATATGATTTCATATATGTAAAATACCCAGGATGAGCAAATCTGCAGACAGTAAGCAGATGTGTGATTGCTCAGGGATTGGGCAATGGATGGTAAAGGAGTGATTGCTAAAGAGTACAGGCTTTTTCTTTATGGTGATGAACGTGTTCTAAAGTTGACTGT